TAAATAAAGACACATATATTGACAGTACATGCTTTCTTTTCAGCACTTGATCAATAACTTTGTAGAATAGTACACTAGCCAGCATATAATAGTACAAAGACTAGAATGTAATTTGTTCCTCAGAGAACTGGCTATATTTAAATTTTTAATTTAATCTATACTCAAATCACCATGTCAAATGCTGATTTGAGTATAGAGTAAGCCACCAAGAACATTTGGAAATAAATCTGCATCCACAAAACTTTTTGCACAATTATGAGCAAATTTTATCTATTTACTATTTAATATACTTTCATTCTTGTGGAGCTTATGCAATGATCATATTTCAAATAAAAAAATTATACCACCCATAAATGAGGCATATATAAATAAAGATATCAGCACCTCCTGTACAACTAATTTTTAATTTCTCCTTTAAATGACAGCAAATTAATGTGTAGCACAGGAATTATATATCAATCATAGAACCCTATAAATGTACAGTATTTGCAGATATCAACAGATGTTTGACCTACCACCCCATATTTACTTGAATAGAACCCTTTCTCCTCTTACACAAAAAATAAACAAAAGCTGTTACTAAAATAAATTTTTAACAAATTTGTATGAATACATTTATGTTTCTTTGGAAAATTGTCTCCAAAATATTTGAGGGTAAAAGTGCGGGTAACAAAATTATCATCACTATATAATTCCATGGAACTACATCAGACATGCGTTTAATTTTCTAAAATTAAACCACCACAATGTAAGTATCCTTAGGAAATAAAGAAGGAAAGAAAAGGAGTGAGAGGCAGAGAGGAAAAAGAGAAAGTAGGAAGAGAAATAATTTAAGTTGTTTGGATAATACCCTTTCCATTTTCTTCATTGGGCATAGCCCCAGAAGAAGAGATGGAAGACATGAATCTTCAATTCTGTCATTCTCGCCTCTCATCATGAAAAGGTTTTGTACGAATACGTATGACCCTAGTGTTTTATTATGCATAAAAATAGGTAAACGCTTCTTGGTTATTAGGAATAAAGAGCAAGCATTTACATAAATGATCATAATGTGTATTATACTTATGCAGTCAAACCAAGATTTAGTCACTGTTATCTAAAACCTTACGCTGTCCCCTAGGGTCCCATGCTTGGCTTCCCTCCCAGCATCCTTAGACATCCGGTGCATGCTCTCCCACACTCCCAGGCTTTAAATGCAAGAGTATAGCTTCCTTCCCTAAGGGGAACCTGGTCTGTTACCATTCCCTCTGCCCCTTTCTTCCCCCCCCAGTGGCCCATGACGAAGGCTTCGGAGTTCTTGTGAGAAGTGAAATACAATGAGGAAGGATAATTAAACCAGCAGAGTGGGCTCAGATAAGCGCAGGACTCAGGTTCTGGAGCCACAATGGGCAGATTATTTCCCAAATCCTCTCATTCAGGAACCCCTTTCCTTAGCCTTCCCTTACCTCCTAAACCTTCCCATTTTTTAAGAGAAGTTGACAGAATCCAGAATCCACTGAGCACAACATCCTTCAACTGAGTCACACACTCCATTTTTTTCTGTAACTACCTATTTTACTATTCATAATAGTTGCCTGAATGTCAAAAATACTGATAGTCTGTGGGCTGCAGGAGGACAAGCTTCATAGCTGATTGTTTCCTTGTCACATTCCTGGAGAGAACGATACTGAAATCATACCTGAGAAATGACTGAAGCAATGAATGAAAAAGGGCTACCCCCTAGTACCACTCTGGGATACCAGGAGAGTCTCTCTCTGGAAGCAAGACCTAGAAGGAAAGGCATGACCTGGATGCCTCTCTTCTTCTGCAAAGAAAGACTTCCTTAAGCCCCTTGCATTGTAACTACTTCTAATTTCATCATTGTCACTTATTATTTGTCATATCATCTCCACTCATATGTAAGTCCAAGGAAACCTAATCACAGACTTACGATATGCTGTATGGGTAAGTAAAGCAGCAGTGTAAACTAAATGGATTTCTACACAACCAAGTGATTTTACAACTTAAAATATTTTATCAAAATATGCACAATTACCAAACCACCATGATGATCCATTTTATAATTTTGAAAAATGATGTGTATCATACAAAGGAATTTTTAAAAAGTCATGATTTCATTAGGGAAGAAAGAAGCTTTCATTTGTAACTCAAGTAATTTCTAGATGATGAATTGGCAGAAAGAAGTAATTTGCCTTTAAAACATGGTTTAATTTAGAATTAGTAAGCAGGAAATGTGAAATCTCTATTAACGTTACTTATGGTTTATGATATATTTTCACAGACCTCTCTGGGAAATAATAACCCTTGATAATTGTCACTTTCAGTATGCATTTACTTTGAAGCAGGGTTGTGTCAATGCAATGATCAGGTTGCCTCAAACTCATTTCTATCCACTACTGTTTTCATCATTAAAAAATATAAAATGGAAGACACTAGTCATTACCAGTCACCCTACGTCCATTTGTGCAATGATCATTGCAGGATTTTTAAAGAATATATTCTGAACTGGGAAGCTAAATGGTACAGAATATTCACAAATTAGAAGGCACCTTCTCTTGAAGTAAAGAAAATTTACTGTGATTCCTTTTACCTGAAAACATTTAGATGAAATACACTACAATAACAAGAGGGAAGCAGTTAACATTTATTGAAATCTGCATCTTGCCTGGTGTTGCTGAATGAATTCTGTTGAAACCACTCACCCTCATAATTACCCTGTAAATTAGATATTTTTTCATTTTTAATTTTTAAGTGAGGAAACTGAGGTTCAAAGATTTCAGGTGTTTACAGGAGATTGCTAAATTATGTTTAACATGAAATCCCTGCCTCCAATAAACTAATAAAGGAGGGCATCGCCTCTGGAAAATACTGATTAATTGCCTGTAAGATCTATCTAAGCACAGACTACTTTCTCCAGCTCATCTGCTCCAGCCAAAGCTCAGAAGTCAGGCCTGCCCACCGGCCCATGAGACTAAGGATATTGCTGTTCACCTTCATCAGTACATCCTCATGGCCAGGCCCTGAAAACCAAAGAGCCAAATGTGCAAAACTGCATAACCAAGTGTATGTATTTAGATTGCTGGTGGGGTATGTTTATCCCAGAGAAATAAAGAAATCCAATTCTTGCCGTTTTTCAAGAAAATACATCTCGGGGTTTCTGATTTACCCTCTGTGCTGTATGGCCTTCCAAGGAGAGCAGAGTCCTCCAGAAGAAACCATGGCCTCTCCAGGTGACAGAGATTAGAGGGAGGGGGAATGAACTCTGGAGGTGGGAGCTAGAGGAAAGGGGACCTGAGAAGTGATAGCATAAACACACAGGCAGAAAGTTGAGTGAAATTCTGAAAGCCGATAACACCTAACACCTGGCGTGGCCAGCTGTCCCCACAACCCGCAGCAGGCTACACCCACCCTCTCAGAAAAAATCCCCTGAGAGGCGCTTTTGACTTACCGGTGAATGGTTTCGTTGGTTCAGAAAAGAACAGTCCACAGCAAATGTCTGAGACCAGGGACCTCAGCAAAATATCCTGAGCTTAAAAGAGTTAAAACAACCTTGGAGAGATTTTTTAAAATTTATTTTATTGAGAGTATCACAGACGTCCCCTATTTTCTCCCCTTCACCCCCCCCC